TACACACACATATATATATATATATATATATATATATATATATACATACATACACACATATACATATATAATATACATACACATATATGTGTATGTATGTGTATACGTATATGTATGTGTATACATATACAAAATCATGACCCATCCGTATTACGTATGTACTTAAGTTAAGTTACGTATGTAAGTTAACACAATTTAATGTTGACTTTTTGTTTCACATGGGACACGAACAGCAGTCTCCTGGTTGTAAGTCTTAGCGTCGGTTCGCACCGAGACCTCTGTTGGACTTCCACTTCATATCTATATAAAAAACAGACAAAACTGGACATTGCTTGGAGAAAGGAAAGCGAGGAAGTTGAACTACCTGGTGAGTTCAGAAAATGTGTGTCTGTAACTTTATTCCAGCTATTGTCGTACTTCACTGTGAACAAGTTAGCATAGCATAGCCCTGATTGATCTGAACCCCATTCCATTCAAAAACAAACATTTAAAAAAAGGTCCTACTAACTTGCTGACAGACCTGACAAAGCATAAATTCAAATGTTTGGCAAATCGGCACAATATATATAGTTATTTCAGCATCAGTTTGATCTGTTTATTGTGATTAAATCACATCATTCCGTAACTTGAGGTCACATTTGAATAATTTATTTCACAATTTTGTGACCAGGACAGATACAGAGAGGCAGAAGCACTCTGGACTAGCCCAAACCTAATTTGTGGCATATTCAGACTACAATTAGATATTGAATGTGGACAGTACACAATGTGACTACTGCACCTTCAGTCTTAATGCTCTTGTCTGGGTCCAGGAGGAGCTCTTCATCTGAGAGTATGCTTTCAGCGGGTGACATACCAGGGAGAGAGAGGACCACTGAGTCTACTTCCTGAGAAGAACAAAATAATTCTGGTAAAAGTACAGACTGTGGTTTTCTCGTGTTATCAACCTTGAACCTACTTCTTTTGTCTTAATTTAGGAAAGCATGTTGTTGTCAAGACACTGTCAGCACATGTAAACAAACCATGTAAAATGGCTTTACATAACGATTATTTTTTAAGTCGATTAATCTAACGATTATTTTTGTGTATTCTAAAGAAAAAAAAGTTACTCGATAAACATACCAATTTATCCAAAATAAATATCAAAAACATGTCTGATCAATAATTCTAGATTTTATTCAATAATCCTGAATTGCAGCATATTTTAAAATTAATCCAATTTCCACGTCACTGATGTGTTGTGATAGTAATAACAATAACAGACATTAATTAGGCTACTTTACTTTTAAAAGTTTAAATTTATTTCAATATTGAGTAATGCAGTATGATAATCACATTTATTTCTGCATCAATGTGGGGAAAAGAAAACAACTGAAATGATTCACAGACTGTGCAGACAGTCACAGATCGTCTGTAATGTTAGATTCAGCTGTTTTCTCGCTCATACGTGGCCGCTAAATAAAAAGAGAAAATATGAAACGGCCGAACATTAGATGACACACGGTGGGCCAGAAATGACTTTTTACATGAAGGCGATAAAGAAATACTAAAATACATTTTAACGGACTACGTGTCCTCGTGATGATAATAGGGGTGGGAATCGCAGGGTACCTCACGATATGATACGATACACGACTCACGATAATGATAATATCACGATACATCAATTCTGTGATAATCAATATATATTGCTTGATAAAGTGATACATCAGGATATCTGTCTATTAATACAAAATGCCTGTGAAAAAGTTATATTTATTTGCTGCAAATCCAAACTGTTAGACAGCACAATTCTGCTCAGTCTGTAAATAAAACTACAGAGCAACTATGAAAAAATATTATCAAAACATTTGTTTATAAAAGGCAAATAAAATGCAAATTCACTGAATTCTTTACTGCCAATACAAATTGCTGTGTACCACCTAAGTCTAATCTGTACATCACATTATATTAATAACTGTTCAATGACACAGCATTGTGCTTCCCTTTCTGTTCCTACTGACTGCTGTATTTTTAGGCCACTGGGAATATTAGGTTTGAGTTTTGACCCTTTGGGTTTGCTGTAGCTGGTCTGTGTGGAGTGCTGAAGCAGTAGAGTAGCAGATCAAGACAGTAAAGTCAGCAGCTTTTTTATCTCACACAGAGCTCAGGAAAGACGTACTTTAAATATTTGCACAGTATGTCACTCAGGATGTTCAGCATGTGAAGCAAAATGTGTAGTTTATGTTAGGGTTGTATTTTCGCAATCGCTATGCTAATGTCCTTTAGCACGTTAATGGAGATTCCCATTATATGTTAGCATTGAGCTAACTGTCGAAGCACTATTTTTTATTAATATTATTTATCGATATGATGGGCTGGAATATCAATACAGTATCATGGAAAAATGTACAATGATATATTGCCGTATGGATTTATTGTCACATCCCAACTTGATAATGCGCCATGCTTGTGTGGAGACACAAGAAAGTAAACACGATTTGCGGTGCTGCCGTCTAGACAAAGTGCTCCAGGATGCGGCTTCACGTATTTGTGGACAGCAGTTGTGCTGCAGTGAAGCTATTTCCAATTCACAGAGCAGCACGTTGTTGAGTGTCTGTCTAAAATACTCCCAGACTTTAGATACTCGAAGGCATGGTCTCCTAGCTGGAGCTTGTCCGGGGAATCCCACTAACACCGGATGCAGTGACACTTTGACGCAGGTAATGCGAGTCGACGTGTTTACTAATCGATTACATAGACTACTTCAACGAATTGCCCCAGCCCTTAAAATGTGAAATAAACATTGAGAATATATTCCGGTTGTTCACATCTTAAGTGACAAGGTTGCTGCAGGTGGTTTTGAACCCCTCTAGTTAGCAGGATAATGGTATCAAGCTCTGCTATGCTTGCCAGTCAAGTAATCTGCTGTTAATTATCACAGATGTTGTCAAATATAGCTTAATACCGTCATTTATTATTGTCTGTGAAGGACACCTTCCACATGAAAGCAGATAATTGCATATAAGCTGGCACATTTAACATATGGCCTGTGCAATGCAACAGCACTTAAGCAGTGGGAAACACTGAAATAACTGCTTTCCATTTCTTTACCTCATCTTCCAATATGACGTCGTCGCCACAATCAAATTTATCTCTGAGATTTTGGATGGAAGTCCTCTCCATTGTGGGTCTGTCACCACCTTCATGAAGTAAAGCCTCTTTCCCTTGGTCATGATCTCCGGAAGCATGTAGATTTTTCCTAGGGCAGTATAAAGAAATGGCGCGATTTACCATTGTAAATTGAGCAGCTGATCCCTTAAAATGTCTGAACATAATTTAACATTTGCATATTCCAAAATAACAACAGTAGCTAGACAGTTAAATAACATGTTAAATTAGACAAAGCTGCTAATATTTTTTTTCCATACCACCATTGTCAATTCAGTGCAATTCTGAACCCATTTTGGCCATTTTCCTTTTAGTGCAAAAACCCTCTAGATGAAAAGTGCTGACCAGGAAAGGAGGGGTTAAGTTGGAGGGTGAGCAAAGCATCATTACAAGGCTCACCAGTGCCTAATAAACCATTTTCTCTACCTGCATGTTTAAGTACAAGCATGAAGGGATAGCCTGTGACTCTCAAATGAGATCACACTGCTTCATTTAAATTTTGAGTTGGGGAGCTTTGAAAAAAAGGCAACAAATGTTCAGAACAGACTCAAACCAAATACATGACATGCGTCACAACCAAATGAGCTAGTGGGTTGTGCATTGTCCTCAAACTATGGGTGCACTCATTAATGAGCTTCAGTAACCGACGGACACACTTGCCAGCAGGCTCCTCACCTGTCCGATCCAAAACCTCAGTAACAAGCAGACACAACAAAACAAAAGCCAAATTGCTGTTGACAAAAAAAAAAACACGCTAAAGAGTGCCTCTCCAAACAAACCCTGAAGTGAAAAAGAGAAATGGTTAAGTCAGGCCCAGTGCAAGAGTGTGAACAGTGACAGTGTATCTGTCACGTTTATTAAGACAGTTAGCGGTGCGCTAAAAATTCAAGGAATGCTCTGAATGAATTATGCCCATCGTGGGACCAGGAGGGTATTGGAAACCCATAAAAATACTCCCATCTCTATCCAGACAAATGTACATTTAGCAATAAGCCTTTCTCCATCATATATGTTAGACATACTTAAAAGCTACAAGGCAGCCAGACAGAAGACATCTGGTACTAATATTCTTGCTGTAACAAGAGTCCATTCAAAGTCCAAAGAAGCTGCCTTTAGTTTTTATGGCCCTAGATTCTGGAGTAACCTCCCAGAGGACCTGAGATGCGCTTAGTCTCTCATTTCTTTTTTAAATGGTCTTAAACATTTTCCCCTGTTTCTTTCCAGTAATGTGCAATACATTCTTTGTAACTGAATAATCTACATGTGAGATTTTGTTGTGAATGGCTATCATTACTATTATTAGTAGTAGTAGTCTTCAACTTCTTCAGTAATTAGTATTTCTCTTCTCCTGTTCTTTCTTTTTCTTATCTTCTTAATATTCACGTTAAATATGTTGTGCACTTTAATGCTGCCATGTTTTTCATTACCTCGGCTCAGTAGCGCTGCCATAATCAGGCACGTCATCTGTCAGATGAGGAGTCCGAGGAGGGTCAAGGTGCAAGCTTGGCTCGAAGTCTGGCAAAGAGTGAAAACAAGCACCACGTCTCCTTGGACTGTATTTAAATGCATCTGGATCTGCCATGTATTTCAAGCAACCTGAAGAAAAATGAAATTAAGTTGGTGTGAGGGTTTCAGCTTTTAACTGTGCCCATATAATTAACAAAATTCTTCATTTCAAAGCAGAAAACACATTCAAGTTATTTAAAATAAATAATATAAAATATATTATTTAGGGATGCACCAAAATTCGGCCACCTAAATTAATCGGCCGAAAATAGGAAAAAAGCACTTTCTGTGTTCGGCCTAATACGTTAAAAGACCAAATAAATTTTACCAAACAATTAAGTTGACATGTAGGCAGTGTGGAAGCATTTTAAAGTGTCTGGGAAAGACGCAAAAATCTCAGTTTGCAGACACTGTTCTGCTGAATTGTCACCTAGCACATCCACTCCATCTGTGGCTGACTTCTTAGAAAAGGCAACAAACGGTCTGACCCGCTTTTGAGTGTTTATGAGAAGGCGATTAAGCTAGCCGCACCTAAAGTTGGAGTGCACACATATTCAAGCCTTTATGGTAAATCCACTGAAATGGACCAGTGCAAGCTGACAGGCAGGTTAGCGACTTCATGTCATTTTCTCTCTTTACAAAGAAAAGTGTTGCAGTGTGAGAGTCCTACCGGAATACAGGCTGTGATGTCTTCATGTTGCACGATACAAGAACCACATACAACATTATTTATCAAACTGACTTGATGAATTTAGCGCCAGGATACACATGTGACAACGTCGGTTTCAAAATAAGGTGTCTATACAGTATGGAAATAAGATTTATAAAACATTTACATGTGTACATTAAAAGTAAATGGACACATGTAATTTACTTTACCCACCCTCTTGGGCCTCAGACCCACCCACTAGACTCTCTCCAAATCCTGTGGGAAACACTGAGTAAAAAGCATATTTTGACTATTTAATTTATGCAATGGTAAAATAGGCAAAATAAATGGAATTTTTTTTTCATTATATTCAGTTTTGGCCAAGAATTTTCATTTCAGTGCATCCCTAGCATTATTTTAAACAGGTGCGTTCCGACCAGTAGTTCCCTGCTAAGTGCACTGCACAGGGTATTCGGCCATTTTAAGTGAGAGTCCAACACGGCGGAACTGACGTGTGCTTTGATGATGTTGCAGGGTGTTCCCAATGGAAGAATTTTGTCGAGGGAAGTTCCGTTAACCGACATTCCCTGAGCAGGGAGCAGGGAGCAGGGAGCAGGGAGTACTGTTTATGTACAGTGTGGATCGGAACGCAGCCCTACTCTAACTGCCACAGTAGGCACATCATTAACAATGGCTAAACAAGACATCCATGGGCATTGTTTGGTTATATTTACAAACGAAAAGACAGATTTCACTAAAAATTAAACAATTTAGTGAATCTAAAGACGGATAACGTTAGATTAATCTGTTTTCACTTAACGTTAACATATCACTGAAAAATGTAACGTTAGCTACTCTTAGTTGCTGATCGGACAAAAACTACATGTGCGCTAAATTATGTTATTTTTCCTCAGTAACTTGGTCATTGGTTTCATATCTTACATGAGCCCTTATAACCTGGGGGAAACAAACTTTTCGGCTGATGTATTTTTTTTTTTACCTTAACTTTACATATTCATTTCTAAAACGTGAGTGGACATGTTCTGCTGTTTTTCTCTACTTTGTCAGTTAGACCAAATGATTACTTAACATTAATCGAGAAAGTAACGGAAAGATGAATAGACAGATATAGACAGTATAATTACCTGTTAATTGCCAAATATTAGCCTATTTAGGTTAATCACTTAGCAGCCAGCAAAGGTGAACGACTCAATGCGACATCTTGTTAACTAGTTAGCTCGCATTACTGAATGACAGTTGGCTGACTTAAATGCTATGTCAACGCCAAAACATTATGAGAGACAAGAAACAAACCCGTGAGCCAAACATCAGCTCCTCTCGTTTTCACCGCTCAAACATCTGAAGTCATGTTAAGCTTTGCTAATGTCACGAGATCGTTAGCTTACGTTAACGTGTTTTTAAGCCACGCCGTCTCCAGTCGAAACAAAAGTTTGACGCCAAGATTCTATGAGGTCAAACGAGTTTAAATTTCCAATAAATTGTGGCCACATGTTACTCAAAATATTACCTTCAGTCTTTACGCGTTTCTAAAAACTGAAAGAGAGAAGGTCGTCGCGGTTCTATCCTTCTACCTGAGTCCAGAGCCTTGTGGAGGAGAAGGGGTTGGGCACCTGAAACTGGAAACCTTCACCTGAATCCTCGGAGGCAAATGAGGGAGGATATAGAAATTATTTTTTGACTGTTGTACTGCAGTTACTTTAAACTGCGCTTAATTCATGATTAAAAAATAAACTTGCAGCCGTTTATATCTCTACACTATTACACAAATACACTATATTTGCAAAAGTATGTGGACACTTGAGCATTACTTCTATAGCCTATGTGATTGTTGAACATCTCATTCCTAAACCATGGCCGTAAACATGCTGCTAGAACAGCTCCCACCCTTCTGGGAGAGACTTTCCTCAAAATGTTGGATCCTCTTTGGGCATTGCATTGATGCCGAGTGTTCAGGTCTCCCTTGCAGTGTGGTATAGAGTTGAGGTCAGGGCTTTCACACTAAATCATTTCTGTATGCACCTTGTTTTGTGCAGGGAGTGTGTTGTAATGTTATATCAACAAAGGGCCTTCCCCAAACAGCTGCCACAGTTGGACTGTCAAAAATATCAGTGTGCATTAAGGTTTTACTCAACTGGAGCAGAAAACCGCCGTGGCCCTGAAGTGCAAAGCACAATGGCAATTCACAAAACACAACAGCAGTGTCCCATAGGCCTTAGAAACTCCATCCTAGAATACTTTTTTCAGTGAAAACACCACAAAATCAACTATTTTGGTTTGTCTTAGACAGTGCATCTAATCAGGATGAGGCCAATACGTACTTATATAGTAAGTAAGTAAGTAAGTAAGTAAGTAAGTAAAATTTTATTTATATAGCACCTTTCAAAACCTAGGTTACAAAGTGCTTTATGCATATATCCCAATCTCTCTTCTAGTTCAGTGTCACCAATGCTGTTGTGTTTTGCACTTAAGGGCCACGGTAGAGCCCCAGACCAAAATGTGTCTATGCTTAGGAGCATATGCTGTGCAACTATGGTAGTTATAAAAGAAAATGAATAGATGGAATATAAAATGAGACAAACATGTCAACACAACTGAGGCACAAACTCAAAGTACACAAGATGAAATCAGATTTGATCAGGGGGATGTCCACTGGTGTCTGTTATACAGTTGAGTAAATAGCATAGCTTGAAATCTCTATTTACACAGCGATATCTGTGTGGGTGTCACCATTTCGCTGGAATTTAGATTGAATGCAGGAAATGGGAAGAAATGAAAGAGCGGGGTCAGCCATGTTTTATGTATAGATGCAGTAAATAAGCAAATAGATGCAGAATGGTTTGGTGGTTTCTATGAATTTTAAATTTTGTAGCTCTGCACACACACACATTCAAACCGATAAACACCAAAAGCATGTGCTGAAAAGCTCCCACAATGGAATGAGTTCGCGGTTGTTAAAATTAAACCTCTCTCTCAAACGCAAATACACACTTCTCTAAGCCGCCTGTAAGTGTGGCGTTATTTGCAGTGGAGAAACGTTCCCCTGATCATTGTGAAACTCAAGACTGAACTCTATTTCCCTTTCCCTTCACCTCAGGAGCAAACCCTCATATCTGTTTCTCCTGAGAATGACGCTTTATGCGTGTGTGTGTGTGTGTGTGCATACAGTATGTTTCAGTTTGTCTGTGTTTTATATGAGACTGTGAAATGTAAAGTCACTCCCTTCTTAAGAGAGCTTTCTGAGGCGCATTTGAAACTATCCCATGTGTCCTCTTCATTTTAAATACCACCTATTCCCTCCCTGACTCCCCTGTCTTTGTCTCGTTCTATTCCCCCTTCGCTCCCTATCTATGTCTTTCTTTCTGTCTACACTTTATTTATTTTTGCTTTCACACCCACACACTCGCTCACAGGCTGAGACATTTCCCTTTTTATTTTTTAATGGGAACATTTTTTTACAGTGATGGCATACAGGACACCGCAGAGCTCGATTAAATATTTTTAGTTGTCTTCTGCTCAGGGACAGTGTTTCCCAAATACATTGTCACAGCTTTTGTGTTGGAATATGGTCAGGCAAAACTGTGAAATATTGAGCCCGTTGACAATTCTTCTAAACATATGTTATAGTGTGAGAAAGCGTGATTGTGTTGGTGTGCTTGCATGTGTGAAAAAAAACACCACCCAGCACGGTTGATGAGCATTGTTATTGATTCTTGGCTGTCAGGGATATCATTGTAATGTATTCATTTATGTTAATTAACACTGGGAATGAAAACCTTAATGTCAACCAACTAGATTTTCCCTCTGCGCGTAACAATGATTTTCCCACTGATGTCAATGAGTAGCTTTTGCAGTATGTTATATTGTAGGTTATATCTACAAGGCTGTAATTACCTGACAAAATACCTGATGCAACAGCTAATTTAGCAACATTAGCAACATTTGTGTATATTGATTATAAATACAAGTTGAGCTTTCTATTTCAAATGTATATATTGACTGAGAAAATAACTGAAACTTATCTTCCTTATTTTTGGACAGCTTGGGTTTATTTCATTGATGGTAAAAATATCTGCATTCATTAAATTATAAATATTTGTATTTTGCACTCATCAACCTTCAGTTACTTCTTCTAATTATTTGACCTCTGGGCTGTGTGGGGTTGTTAAATGGATGGTGTTCTGTTTAAGATGAAATAGTAAGACACCCATTTAAGATAAACATTAATTATTTATCTTATTTACAGTGTGGTATTTTATGGATTCTTGTAGAAGACTATATGCCTTCTTTACCTAATTATCTAGATGTTGATATGTGTGTTTTCTCTAGTGGTGGAAGAAGTATTTAGATTCTTAACTTAAGGAAAAGTAGCAATGCCACGCTGTTAAATTCTCCATTAAAAGAAAAGGTCTTGCACTTAAAACCTTAATTAAAAGTATGTTAGCAATATTAACAAAATTGAGCTAATTATAGCTGCTTCATACACAGCTGTATAAAGCAACTTTTCATGAACTAGCTCTGTGACAATGTGGTTTCCAGCTAATCCAACAGGGTTTGTAAATAGTTTATTTATCTTAAGAAGTAGGAGATTTTTCCCATCCCACTAAAGAACACATACTCCATCATCAGAAACATTCAAATTTGAAAGGAAGGGTGTGGGAATGTGTAATCTGAAAAGTAACTAGTAACTAAAGCTGTCAGACAAATGTAGTAAAAACATGTAGTAAATGAAGTAAAAAGTACAATATTTGCCTCTGAGAGGTATAAGTATAAAGATAAATAAAATGGAAATACTCAAGTAAAGTATCTAGAATTTATATTTAAATACAGTACTTGAGTAAATGAAATACATTTGTGATCTTCTGATTTGGTTTAGTTAACCAAACATTCTGTATATATGGAACTTGATGAAGAGCATTACCCCCCAGTTTAATTCAAATATATATGTTTAAGAATTTATAAGGTCATGCATTTCTGAAAATTAAGCTTCAGTGGATGGTGAAGATTTTAAAACCATGTTAAAGTTCTTTAAAAATGTTTAATGTATTCAATTGCTTTTCATAGCAAGTAAAAATTTTGAGCTCTCTAACATCTCTGTAATGAAGCATGAGCTTCATGAGGTTTTATTCTGCTGGGAGTTGCAGGGCAGAAGAGTGACATCAGACTAGGTGATTGTGCTCTCCAAAAAAGAAAACTTCAACATACTTGTACAGCATAACCCTCTCATTCACAACCGTTTCTGACTTGCTGGTGAATAAAATATGAAATTCTGAAATCTGATGACTTCCAACTGGGTCACTGCCTCCATGCACAACTGAACAGGGATAATTGGACATTTGTATATTTTTCCTAAATTAATTTGACAGGCCTTTCCCCGGGCTCACCACTAGAGGGTAAACGTCCTTTGCTCTCTCCCATTACTAGCTCTCTCAGTTCATTTCTGATACTAACACATGACCTACAAATCAGCTGCATCAGACAGAAGAGAGGGAACAGAGAAATTAGAGGTCTGAGATTCTTCTTCTTCATAGTATTAGTAACTGTAGCAGTTGTACTGGCTAATAGGAAATGCAAGGCAGTTTTATTTGTATAGCACATGTCATACACTGGGGCAATTCAAACAGCTTTACAGAGTAATAAAAATACAGGAATACAGGTAAAAAAAATTACAAGTGCAAAAGTACAGACAAAAGATAGGATACATTAATATTACTAATCAAACACTATATTGACCTAAGTTATGAATGAATGATGAGATTTTAAAAATAATGAATTACATATAGCATTACACTTTTTAATACATTTCAAGAGGATTTTTAAAACTGGGTCAAACATTCACCCCCCCCTCAGGATGAGTTGTAAATATTTTGGCGATCCCTCAACTTTTCATCAGGAGCCATCATCAGGTCAAAATTTGTCCTTACAAATGACAAATCCCCCTCAGCCTCAACTGTACTTAGTGCTAATCAGCAAATGTTAGCATGCTAACACTCTAACACGATGATAATGATGGTAAACATCATACCTGCTAAACATCAGCATGTTAGCATGTTTGAGAGTATGTTAGCATGCTGATGTTAGCATTTTGCTCAAAGCAACGCTGTGCCCAAGTACAGCCTCACTGAGCTGTTAACATGGTTACTAACTGGCAAATGTCTGTAAAGGCTGAAATGTGAGCAAAGTTTTGGCAGAGGTGATTTGAGATCTATTAACAGTGGTCATTTAATTTGCTACACACATGTGTAACTGCTCCATCTTTGGGTAAGGTTATCAGCAACACTTACATTTCAACAGACAAGAAGCATAAGATAGTGACGTGTGATACAGAACTCTCACATGAAAGGAGTGGGTGAATTTCACAACGAAGTGGTTTGTGTCTGTGTGTATACCTTTGTAGAGAACTAGACAGGTGGCCGCGTGCACACTTGACACAACACCTGTGTTGTCTTTTAATCCCAGGAAACGCAGTGGATTGGAGACACAGAGATCAAGCTCTTTCACTGGTGCATGAAGAAAGAGACTGGTGTTGATTCTGTTTTTGATGTGCTGCCATCTGACTGTGCTGGGCAGAATCTCAAAAGGGAGTTGGTTGCTGATATTAGGATGCACGCAG